GTTGGAAAGCTTCGAGTAATGAACCCTTTTTCAAAGCAAGCTTCAGTGCTTCAGAAAAGCCTCATTTGCCCATCACTAAAGATTATTATTCTTACACAATCAGTTCTTGTTTACTAAATTAGTCTCAAAACAAGATCAAAAAGACTTTTTGGATAAGATTTTAAAACTTGGTAAGATGGACAGTTTTTGCAGTGTACCTTTTAAAGCCAATTCCTCCCAACCAGCCTCTTCAGCAATAATTCAGAAATCCACGGAGTGCTCTGCAACAGACTTACTGCCGGTCTGTGGTTATTTTTTTTAACTTTCTAGTGTTTTCAATGTTCCCCTGTTTTGCTCTGCCCTATAGCCCCACCCTCTCTCACCTGTGTCCTCTTGTGTCTACTCCAGGTGTGTCTCGTTGCCCTAATTAGTTTGCCTTTAAATGTTGTGTCCTGTCTTCAGTGTTTGTCCGATCATTGTGCTGCGTCCCTCAGCCAGTGAGGTATCCTGCGTGTTCCTTGTTGTTCCAGAGAGTTTTGCTGCACTGTCAGCTGTTTATTTTGGTTTTCTAAATAAACTCTTTATTTTGCACTTTGGATCCTGCTTGCACTCTGGGTCATTCTGCAAAACCTCACATTGCCTTGTCGAAGAGAGAGTAGACATTTGGCAGCCTGCTCCTGCTGGAGGGGATTATCAAACACATGTTGAAATTCCTGAATGAAAAGTTGAGATGTGAGAGTTTCTGATGAATGAGACGAAAGAAATGCTTCCCTTGAAGCCTGAGACAATATATGTAATTTGTGCTGAGTGATTAGGAAACAGAGATGGTGAATGGGCGAAAGCCAATCGGCATTGAAGTAAAAAAAAAAACCTCCACATTGGTCTTTTACCTTCAAATAACTCAGAGGGTCTGAGATCTGGTTCTCGGCCAGGATTTACAGGACTGGACCCTTGGACAGGTACAGCTTGTGGATTGGTAGGTAGGTCGGTAACAGAGTTCCTAATTTACCATCAATGGCTGCAATTTGATGAAAAACCTGATTGAGTTGTGTTGTAACTGAAAAAAACTGTTGAAACATCTTTTCAAATCTAATGTTCTGCGCACTTTGAGGACTCTTGTTCTTGTCACCAGGGCCCTCATGCATAAAGGAGTGTGCAGCTTTCACACTAAAAGTTGGTGTAGGGACAAATTTAGAAAAGTGATCTGCACAAAAAAATTCAGATGTATATAGCCGTACGCTTGCACGTTTTTGCGCACCTTTCCTTTATACTGCTTTATTTTCTTGTCTGAGCTTAAATGATTTTCAGTCCCGGGGTTCAGTTTCATGATCGTTCGAGTTTAAACAATAAAAACTCAAAAAAAAATCTAACRCCGTGTTCAGACGCTCCTTGCATTCAGAAAACACAACAGAGTCATATTTCTGTGGATTCAGGTCAGATTCGTGACTTTGTGGGTTAAAACTGTCGACTGAAAAACTTTGCGTGCATGGCTGCTGCACATTCTCACGGCAGGTGAAAAGTGTGTGTATATTTATGCAGACTTTCACGCAATATTGGCTTTGATATATCCCAACGTGGGCGTAGAACCTGGCGCACGCAATTTTTTTATGTGTGCACAGCGTTTATACATGACAGCCCAGGAGTGCTCACTGACAGTTTGCTTGGCTGAAGCAAACTATCAGGTCATCAGATCAAAGTCAAAGTGAGCAAAGTGGCAACAGACTGAAAGCAGACAAGAAACCCAAACAGGATTCCAGCCAACAACCAGGTGAAAATGAAGACCCTAAACCCAGACCTAAACCTGTCATTATTCCATATGTGGCGGGAGTTTCAGAGAAACTGAGACCTTTATTTTCTAAACATGACGTCCCAGTGGCTTTCAAACCCCAAAACACGTTGTGACAAAGATTAGTTCACCCCAAAGATCCAGTTCCCCGGCAAAAACAGAGTAATATAGTGTATGCTGTTAAGTGTCAGGAGGACTGTGATCAGTTATACATTGGAGAAACAAAACAGCCACTGTTCAAAAAAATGAGCCAGCACAGATGAGCTACATCATCAGGTCAGGACTCTGCAGTTTACCCTCATCTACAGGCCAGGACTCTGCAGTTTACACTCATCTACAGGCCAGGACTCTGCAGTTTACACTCATCTACAGGTCAGGACTCTAAAATTTAAAATCTACAGGCCAGGACTCTGCAGTTTACACTCATCTACAGGCCAGGACTCTGCAGTTTACACTCATCTACAGGCCAGGACTCTGCAGTTTACACTCATCTACAGGTCAGGACTCTACAGTTTACACTCATCTACAGGTCA